GACTTGTATTTCTACGCAAGTGTTATCTCTTTATTTTAAATAAAAAATATTTTATTTTTCATTTTCTACAAGAATAAATACGATAATAACTCATGTTACTAAAATGAAACAAAAATTAAACTTTTAGTATAGTTTTGAAAAAATTAAAAGTTTAGGCACTAAAACGGATCAAAACTAATAATTTAGGTACTAAAGTGTAATTTACCCAAAAAATCAATTCAAACACTTAATTTACCCCTATACATTGTTTACAACATAAATAGCTAAAGATGTACATTATAATTTCTTCTTTGACTTCGTTTAACCACATAGAAAACTAAATTAAGTATCCACCATAAATTCCAGAACCAAACGAATTTAAAATTTATACCCTTCTTAAATCATTAATTGTATAAACTCAGACTTGTATTTCTACGCAAGTGTTATCTCTTTATTTTAAATAAAAAATATTTTATTTTTCATTTTCTACAAGAATAAATACGATAATAACTCATGTTACTAAAATGAAACAAAAATTAAACTTTTAGTATAGTTTTGAAAAAATTAAAAGTTTAGGCACTAAAACGGATCAAAACTAATAATTTAGGTACTAAAGTGTAATTTACCCAAAAAATCAATTCAATCACTTAATTTACCCCTATACATTGTTTACAACATAAATAGCTAAAGATGTACATTATAATTTCTTCTTTGACTTCGTTTAACCACATAGAAAACTAAATTAAGTATTCACCATAAATTCCAGAACCAAATGAATTTAAAATTTATACCCTTCTTAAATCATTAATTGTATAAACTCAGACTTGTATTTCTACGCAAGTGTTATCTCTTTATTTTAAATAAAAAATATTTTATTTTTCATTTTCTACAAGAATAAATACGATAATAACTCATGTTACTAAAATGAAACAAAAATTAAACTTTTAGTATAGTTTTGAAAAAATTAAAAGTTTAGGCACTAAAACGGATCAAAACTAATAATTTAGGTACTAAAGTGTAATTTACCCAAAAAAATCAATTCAATCACTTAATTTACCCCTATACATTGTTTACAACATAAATAGCTAAAGATGTACATTATAATTTCTTCTTTGACTTCGTTTAACCACATAGAAAACTAAATCAAGTATTCATCATAAATTCCAGAACCAAATGAATTTAAAATTTATACCCTTCTTAAATCATTAATTGTATAAACTCAGACTTGTATTTCTACGCAAGTGTTATCTCTTTATTTTAAATAAAAAATATTTTATTTTTCATTTTCTACAAGAATAAATACGATAATAACTCATGTTACTAAAATGAAACAAAAATTAAACTTTTAGTATAGTTTTGAAAAAATTAAAAGTTTAGGCACTAAAACGGATCAAAACTAATAATTTAGGTACTAAAGTGTAATTTACCCAAAAAATCAATTCAAACACTTAATTTACCCCTATACATTGTTTACAACATAAATAGCTAAAGATGTACATTATAATTTCTTCTTTGACTTCGTTTAACCACATAGAAAACTAAATTAAGTATCCACCATAAATTCCAGAACCAAACGAATTTAAAATTTATACCCTTCTTAAATCATTAATTGTATAAACTCAGACTTGTATTTCTACGCAAGTGTTATCTCTTTATTTTAAATAAAAAATATTTTATTTTTCATTTTCTACAAGAATAAATACGATAATAACTCATGTTACTAAAATGAAACAAAAATTAAACTTTTAGTATAGTTTTGAAAAAATTAAAAGTTTAGGCACTAAAACGGATCAAAACTAATAATTTAGGTACTAAAGTGTAATTTACCCAAAAAATCAATTCAAACACTTAATTTACCCCTATACATTGTTTACAACATAAATAGCTAAAGATGTACATTATAATTTCTTCTTTGACTTCGTTTAACCACATAGAAAACTAAATTAAGTATTCACCATAAATTCCAGAACCAAATGAATTTAAAATTTATACCCTTCTTAAATCATTAATTGTATAAACTCAGACTTGTATTTCTACGCAAGTGTTATCTCTTTATTTTAAATAAAAAATATTTTATTTTTCATTTTCTACAAGAATAAATACGATAATAACTCATGTTACTAAAATGAAACAAAAATTAAACTTTTAGTATAGTTTTGAAAAAATTAAAAGTTTAGGCACTAAAACGGATCAAAACTAATAATTTATGTACTAAAGTGTAATTTACCCAAAAAATCAATTCAATCACTTAATTTACCCCTATACATTGTTTACAACATAAATAGCTAAAGATGTACATTATAATTTCTTCTTTGACTTCGTTTAACCACATAGAAAACTAAATCAAGTATTCATCATAAATTCCAGAACCAAATGAATTTAAAATTTATACCCTTCTTAAATCATTAATTGTATAAACTCAGACTTGTATTTCTACGCAAGTGTTATCTCTTTATTTTAAATAAAACATATTTTATTTTTCATTTTCTACAAGAATAAATACGATAATAACTCATGTTACTAAAATGACCCTAATTTATTAATTATTTTATAACAAAAATAAAACGTTCACTTCTCATGGTATCACCAGGAGTGATATCTTTTAAAATCCAAATCAAACATATTTTACTTTTCAGTTTCTACGAAAATAAATACGATAATAACTCATGTTAGTAAAATGACCTTAATTTATTAATTATTTTATAATAAAATAAAAACTCCACTCCTCATGATATCATGTCAAGGGTTTTGGTATGAGTCGATAGTACGAATCGAAAACAAATTCAATTGAAAGAATACTAAAATATTATTATTTTTAAATAATACTAATTATTATTAAATAATTTTAAACAAAATAATTAAAAATTCCATATTCAATGATCAAATATTGCATTTAGGGATGGTAAAAAAACCCGAATCCGACGGGGAAAATTGAAAATCGAATTAAACGGGTCGGGTTTGTGAATGATAAACGGGGACGGGGACGGAGAAAAACTATTTATGCTAAACGGGGATGGGGACGGGTTTGATAATCCCCGTCTTGATTACCCGACTCGATACCCAGCCCGATAAATATAAAAATAATTATTTTATATATATATAATATTAATAAATTTAATTTAAATTAATATATATATATAATATTTATATATTTAATTTAAATATATATACTCGGCCCGATACCCGTTTAAATAACCGTTTATGCTAAACGAGGATACCCGTTTCCCTGCGGTTTTCTCCGATTACCCGATGGGGATCCCCATTTAAATCCTGTGATTTTTTAAACGGGGACGGATACAAGTTTTTTAAACGGAGACGGAGACGGAAGACCAATACCCGACTCGAACCCGACCCGTTGTCATCCCTAATTGCATTCAAGGAAGAGTATAAACTATATGTGACTTTACCACAAACATTAGTTAAATAAATTATATAAATATATTTTTATATAAAGTATTGTTCTCTTCGTCTTAATGAATTTATCTTTATTTAAAATGTTTTATTAAAAAAATAAATAAATAATAACATTTATATTTTTACCCTCTTATATGTCACACTTTTTCATATAATATATATATATATATATATATATATATATATATATAAAGATAAATCTGTTAAATTTATCAACTACTTTTAAAGATAATTTTATCATTTCTTTTATTTTATATAACTTAATGCATGATCATGTTTATATTTTAAATTTTTTGTGTTTAATCAACATAGCATAAAAATGAAGAGAATGAAACAAATTGGGTTGGAAGAGTTAAACCCTTAAGCCAGATCAAGAATTCGAATCATGACGTTTGTGACTGAAGTAAACTGGATTGAGAGGGTCGTCTTCGTCTTTACAGTATTCGATCTAGATAATTGATTAATTAATCGAATATCAGTTATTATTTCAAAACAAAATGTTGAGAGGGAAAGAATATGAAATAATTTAATATATATAAATAAATTAGAATAAATGTGTGAAACATACTTTAATATTTAATTAAAACGCCGACCAATTTGCAGTTGCAGTAAATTGAAAAGAAAAGAAATAATAAAAGAATAAATTTAAAAATTGTCCCACCAAATCAAAACAAGAAACGCATTGTGAAAAACCCCGTCCTGCCCGTTGTGTTACCTGCCCCTCTTCCTTCCTTCCTCCCTCTTTTATTTAACTCCCTTTCTTTTCGGAAAATAAATCAACGAAAACCCGCTAGATTCTTCTAACTCCCCCCAAATTCTAGGGTTTCTCTTTCCTGTATCCTCTGTTAGAAATCCTAATTCGGTAATTCTTTTCTTCTTTCTCTTGTTTCATGTTTATTTGATTTCTTCATGGATTTGTTTCTTTTTTTTGTCTGTTTGGTTCCCGCGAAATCTGTTAGCTTAACGAATGAGGAAAATTAACGAGGCTAAGAATCTTGTCTTTTTTGTTTTGGTTGGTAGTTTGATAGATTAGTTCGTTTTTCTTAGTTTATAGTTTTTTTATTGAATAAAAGATTACAGGAAAATGTATCAGTTTATGATTTTTAGAGTTTTGAATTCTGGTGGAGGATTTAATGTCTGGTTGTTCTGCTGTTTGGTTGCCTGGAAAATTTAAAGGAACGTGAACTGGTTAGAAGCCTCAATTCAAGTAGCAGAGATATCATTTTAAAGGACTACAAGAAAAGGATACAAAAATTTTTTGTGTTGCACCCGGTGCAAATAATAAGAGCATAGAACAGCTTACACTTGTTGTTTGCAAATGTGAAATATCCTAATTCTGAAAATTTTCTTGTTTCTAAGAGTAAATGCCGGCAGTTTTTTACTTTTTACTCTTTGGAATTAGACAAGTAATTCTTAAATTCATGGCTGGGGCCGTGAAGGCTCCAAGTGGTCAATTATCTAGATTAGAGCTTTTTTTGTTAGCTTGTTATTTTATAAAGTGTTTGATACACAATGTTAGTCATATTTCTTTGTCATATAATATGATCTCACTTGCCTTTATATCTGAATAAACCGAATACAATTTGATAAATGTTATTTAGTTCAGGAAAAAAGTTATTTAGTTCACATTTGGGGTCATTACCTGTCCGCTTTAAAGAGCTTATTTTTCCTTGAATTAGTCAGTTTGAAGGGCAGATTTGAAATAACTTGGATTATGAATATGATTCAGACTAAATATTTTTTTCCCTGTACTTTGAATGGTAGGATTTGTGTCAGCTACTTTGAAAATAGCAACAAATTCGATTGTAGTAGCGGTATTAAAAGAAAGGTGAGGTTGTAAAGAAATTGATGACGTCAACCTTTTTGTAGAAACTATGAAATAGATTAGAACAAAGTGGAGAATCAAAGTAAAGCGTGGTTTCTTGATTGAAACTGCCTCAATTGTTTTACCTATGGTCCTACACTATCATATTAAGGGTGCTCTCTCTCTCTATCTTTTCCAGCAAGTTGGATTCTTGTCTAACTATTCAACCTGGCCCCCTATTTCTTATTTCTTTTATTTAGGAAAAACTACCGCTACTATATTTATGCATTCTTAATGAATTTATTCTTTACATGTGGCTGGAAAAAGGGTTTAGGTAATTTCCTCTTCTTTCTCGATGATTTGAAATAAGGTTAGGGATACGTGGGAAGTGATTTGCATTTTCATATGATTTTTATTTGACTAACACTGTGATAAGTGTAATGTACATCTTGCATAAGTATTTGTGTAGAGTTATCTGCTGAAATATTTCGAAGAATTTCACATTTAGATGAATCAAATGGTCCTTATTGCCCTGCCATAGACCTTATCTTCTTGTGAGAAGGCCTTATTTAACTTTTATAGTTGACCTCTAATCATTCTGGTTATTTTTCAGTATCTCATTTTGGCTTTTGTTCACGATGTCGAGTTTGGAGGAGCCACTCGGTTTTGACAAGCTTCCTAGCATGAGTACTATTGATAGGATTCAGAGGTTCTCCGCTGGTGCTTGTCGACCCAGCGCTGATGAAACGGGCATGGGAAACTCGTGGATTGATGGGAGGAGTTGCAGAACATCTAATAGCTGCAAGTAAGCCAGATATTGTTATCTTTTGAACTGTTCCCCTAAGAACACCCATCTACTCCTTTTTGTTCCACAGAAGTTAACAGTAACATTTAAAACATTTTTGGGGCAATTTTTTGTAATTTTCTTGATATTTAACTGTTTTGATTTAAGTTGAAAGCAAAAATTGTTTTCTTTCTGGTGAAATTAGTTTTCTATTATTCATTACTAATATCAATGGTAATGCTCGCTGAAAAGATACTATAGTGATTTGTAGTGTATTGCAGTATCTGATGTTTACATCTTTGTTTATATTTCATAATTGATGATGGTACTTTATATTAGTCATAAGCAGATCTTCCCATCGAAGGCTAAATGGGTAAATTTAATAATAGAGTTTAAAAACTAAATAATGCTCTGGCAATTCTTCTATCAATAAAATAGATCAAGCTTTATTCTCATGCTAAAGCATTGCTCAAAACATTCTAGCTACTCAATCTCAACTTAATTTTCTTTCTGTGTTGCTTTGACTCTTAATTTTCCTTGATGTACCCATGTCTGAGACAAGGATATGAGGATATAACCTACAAAGATCCTCCGAATACATGAGAAAACTTACAAAAATTTCACTCCCTGATCACGCATAGGCCAAAATAAAATTGTAACTCTTGGGGATAATGTTTCTGTCGTCCATATTGGGTTACTGTTGATACTTGGAAAGTACTTAGATTATTTTTATTATTCCTTTGTTTAGTGAATCTATAAAAGATTGTAAGGGCATTAGCACTTTTTCAGTAAAATTTATTTTAGGATGTGAAAGGGAAAAAAGGCCAACGTTTAGTTTTTCCTTGAAATTTATCAAATGATCTATATGGTTAATTGTTGATGTTCCCTCTTTTCCTATTTCTTTTTGTACCATAATCTTTAAATGGTTAGTATTCTTTATGTATCAGTTATCAATTTATTGAAATTATTGAAAAATCTGTTTTCCAGTGAGGATCATGAAGAATATACAGGGGAGACATTCCCATGGAGAAGGCATGTGAGGGATGTGTCTGAAGGAGAAGCTTTTAACCAAAGGGCTAAAAGCTTAAGCAAGAATAGGGTGAAACTTGGACATGTTATTAAATCAAGGACACGGTCAGATCAGCAGTATAGCTCCAAGTGCAATGACAGAGCCATACGGGACATAACACACAAGGTAATAAATAACCTGAATAGAATAGTGTACAGTGTACTTTTTTTTTTGAAACTACTAGGATTTTATGTAATATTCATTTCCGGGATTTTTAAATGGTTAATAAGTTATCTCTGTATGTGATGAATGTGTTTTCTTTCTTGTGTTTCATTATTTAATATTTCTACAGCTCTTGACTTGCTTCATCTAAAATCTTTTTATTATTGTGAAACAGTTTTTCAAAGGTATGCCAAAGTTTGTGAAGATAGTGGAAGTTGGTCCGAGGGATGGATTACAGAATGAGAAGAATATTGTGCCTACGTCTGTGAAGGTTGAATTGATTCGGAGATTGGTGGCTTCAGGGTTGCCTGTTGTTGAAGCTACAAGTTTTGTATCTCCTAAATGGGTTCCTCAGGTATCATGATTTGCTTATTTTAGATTTAGATAGTACATTATTTTCTTTTCTTTTCTGTGGTTTTCATTCCATTTGATTTGATTAGATGATTATTTTTATGACCGATAGAGGATGCATATGATGTTCACAGCCTTGGAAATTGTCTGTTGTTTCAATTTGGATGCATTTTTTAGTTGGTTTTCAAATAAAGTCATTGAAAAATTGGAGTTGACCTTATAACCATGAGCAGTGAGGCAGTTGTTTTTGGGTTTAATTCCAGATTTTCCTTGGCTTCCTGAGAGCAACTAGTGATCTTTCTTCATCAAAATGTAGTTGTTATGGGTTGCCTTTGCAGTCAATACTATTATTAAGCGTAAATTATTTGGTTATTATTAGGAAATCAGCTTACTAGTATTTTATTAGAAGTATTTGGAGTTCTTATTTATGATTATTTTATATTATTAGAAGTCTTTCCTTATTAGGAGACTTGCTTTTTAATTACCTTGGTAACTCTTTTATTTGACCCAATGTAACCTCTATTTAAGATTCTCCATGATACATAAATAACCTACTATTGATTCATTCTTTACCTTTTTGTATAGTTAGCAGATGCAAAAGATGTAATGAAAGCAGTTTGCGACATAGAGGATGCCAGATTGCCCGTTCTAACTCCTAATTTGAAGGTTGATAATTTTCCATTGGAAGACATATCATCCTCATAGTGATGTCATATAAATTTTCCTAATCTGCCGTGCATATTCTTCTAGGGTTTTGAAGCTGCTGTTGCAGCAGGTGCAAAAGAAGTAGCAGTCTTTGTATCTGCTTCAGAGTCTTTTTCCAAGTCAAACATTAATTGTTGCATTGAAGAAAGCCTAGTACGTTACCGTGCTGTTTGCCTTGCTGCTAAGGAGCATTCAATTCCAGTGCGTGGGTATGTCTTGTTCTCAGTTTAGTTGAAACTCGAGTGATGATATACACATTTACTTGTGCTTATTGTTATCAAATAACTTGAATTCTGGAACAAAATGCCAAATGCTTTGGCACAAATACTTTGGAAAATTCTTGAGTTGCATATGTGATGTCTGCTGTAATGAATCATTAAAAATATAAATCGCAAAATTTGAGTCTTCAAACCTTTATTTCTTTGCTCGTCTTTTCTTATCCATTTCTAGTTGTTTTTAGAAGAATTCTTGATAAATTAGCTCAGCATGTTTGGCTAGTATAGAAGTTGTCTGACTAGATTTTTGAATTATAGTTTGTTAATAGATGCTTGGAATTTGTTTTGTAATCAATTATATTTTACTTTCTTTTCTGCCATTCTAGTTCTGAAAATGTTGCTCAATGACACATCAAATGCAATATAACTCTAGTTGGAGTATTTTGTTTGTGCTTTGTTCATTTTGGCTGGTACAATGTCCAAATTACATGTTGCTAAAATTTTACAGGTATGTTTCATGTGTGGTGGGATGTCCAGTCGAAGGAGTAATTCCTCCGTCCAAAGTGGCCTTCGTGGCAAAGGAACTTTACGATATGGGTTGTTTCGAAATTTCCCTTGGTGATACAATTGGAGTTGGTACCCCTGGTAATCCTCTAGAATCTAGATTGTCACCTTATAGAAACAGAAGTATGTGGTTGAGTAGGCAGCAATCACCTTTGCTAATGTTTTCCATTTTTTATTTTGTTTTCCTCATTTGAAATTTTAGAATTATGCATTACCTTTGCTCATGTGGCGGTAAAAAGAAAAAAAAGAAGAAATAGAATATTGCAAATGATTGTCTCGTATTATTTTTCAACTACTCTTTCATATGCTGAACAAGTTTGTATATGCACGCATTTATATTTGCTTAGACATCCACATTGACATGTACGCATGCATAAATCCATGTATAAAACATGCATGCTGCCTACGTGCATCCATCCATCCATGTAAGCAATATCTTCCCATACATGCATGCTTTGTCGATTTTGTTTTAAGATTTCAATTTAAAGAAAAAGAAAATGTAGAAAACAAATAGGAGTTACTGTTTCAATATGGGATTATCATCACCTTGAAGAATCATAGGTTATTTGTGCAAGAAGGATGTAAAATTATCTGAAAATCTCGTTCATGTGAGTCAAACATTGGTTCTGAGGAGTTCTTTGCCATTTCTATTTGGCACAGGTACTGTGGTTCCGATGCTTGAAGCTGTAATGGCAGTCGTTCCCTCTGAAAAGCTTGCTGTTCATTTCCATGACACTTATGGACAATCTCTTTCAAATATTTTAATCTCTCTCCAAGTAAGCCTTCAAAAAACACAGTTCGTTTGCAATATTAACACAGTTCAAAAACCAGTGATGGAAGCATTACCAGCTACCTTCCTTTATCATTTATCTTATGGACTGTTAGGTTTATTACAAGGTGAGACTGAAACATGGCATTTGTTATGTTGTATCAACAGATGGGGATTAGTACCGTGGATTCCTCGGTAGCGGGATTGGGTGGCTGCCCGTATGCAAAGGGAGCTTCAGGGAATGTTGCTACCGAAGACTTGGTGTATATGCTTAACGGCCTTGGCGTGAGAACCAACGTGGATCTGACGAAGCTCAGGTTGGCCGGTGATTTCATCAATGAACATCTGGGTCGTCAATCTGGCTCGAAGACCGCAGTTGCACTGTGCCGGGCAACCACTGATGCTTCCAAGATGTAATAATATACATACAGTTATAATTATAATTCTAGGGGGTGTTCCTTAAAATGTATAATGTACAATTGGTGTACGAAATAAAAGAACAAACTCGGCTGTATACGTAGCAGTAGTCTTTATTTTTGCAAGGGGAGATGTATTAAGAGTGTGAGGAAAAGCTCCACTATTGTAAGGCATTGGAACTTCTGCATTTTTCCTTGAATAAAAGATTCATTAAAGTTTAGTGAGTAAGTCCAAAAAGATAGGCATAGAAAACGTGAAAGGAGAATGAAATCACTTATTCACAAAAGTAAATAATTTCAAATCATTATTTCATTCTTATAGTCAGGGATATTGCATATAATCCTACATATACAACGAATAATAACTTCTTTTATCATTGAGATCACTGTATATATTTTTAAGATTAAATTAAATTTTCACTTTTTATTTGAATTTATGAGAGCTATAATGATAAAATTATATTATATTCACTTCAATTTTTTATTTTATTAAATAATGGATGAAAAATATTATTTTCCTTATTTTTTTATTGGGCAAACTCTACCATTGACCTCTCAATTATTTAGTCTTTTTACCACCGATCTTTCAATTTTGTCAAGTAGACACCTGACTATTTAATTATATTCAATCAAACCACTAGCCGTTAACATATAACATACATGGTGATGTGTCAGTTAAAACATTTGGTATAATTACACATCTAGTTATACTCACATATAATATTAATTTGGTCCTAATTTTAATAAATTAAAATAAATTTAATAATGAAAGATTGATATTTTAAGAATTTGAAAGATTTTATGACCGATCCCAATCGAAAGAAAAAGGAATAATAATATTTAAAATATGAACAATTCAATAAATCTTTTGGAAAAAAAATCAACAACAAAATTAATGATGAAAGAAGTGATAACTCTTAATTTCAATTTTGAAAAATTTAATTTTTTCTTTTTGAAAAAAAATATTAACTTATTATGTTAATTTTTTTAACGACAGTTAAAAACAATGATGATGACCACAATAAAAATAAATCAAAATATTAGTGATTATATTATAAGTTTTAGCCATGTCTCTAAAATGCAAACATCTTACGAGTTTTGGGACTCTTTATGTTGTTTGACCAACATAAAAGGTAAAATTATGTCAATATTTCTCTTTGTTTTCGGTCTGATCGATTTTAATCACCGATTTTTTTAATTAAGTGCATTTGATCTCTTATATTATTGTTCCATTCGGTATAAATATATTGACAATTAACTTTCGTTAACCTACTAACAGAGATTTGAGTTGGCAATTCCATTATCAATCTTTTTATTGTTTCCATTAACCACCCACGACCAATAAGTAATCTAACAATCATAAACAAATTCCGATATGTTCCTAAAGGAACAAATAACAAGATCAAAGCAAAAAAAAAAGTAAAAAGAAGATTTAAATAATACACTTAACCTTCCCCTGAGAAAGAATAAAAAGCTTTGAAACGTGAAATAATGAACCTGGATAAATAGGTAGCCATGTTTTGCATTGGTTCATACCTATTTTGAATCAAAATATTTATATAAACTGAAAAATAACACGAACATAAACAGGAAAAAGCTAAACAAAAGAAACAAACAGTTGATCTATGAGTTTTGAAACTAATATTTTCAATAAACAAACGGTTGAGCTATGTTTTGCATTGATTCGCAGCTATGGTTATTGATCCTTCTTCGACCAACATTGCTTCACCTTTTCCGGTGGTGGTATCGGCCGATGAAGGATTGGGATGAATCCGATGATTATTAACACTTCCTTGAGAAGATGAGCTGAGAAAACGAGACACTGGTCGATGTATTCTGGCTTTTGAGATGAACCCTTTTATTCTTCTTCTTTTTTCGTTTTGTGTCTTGTGTTGCTTTTTTTTTTCTTCTCGTAGAATCCAATATCTTTACAGTTGAATAAAAGATTCAATGGCGGTAAAGGGTTATTACTAGCAGGGCATTTTCGGCCATCAAAACCTAGGGCTAAACGTAAACATGAAACAACAAAAGGAGAGTAACGAGCGAATATTTTACGTTGTGGGATAATTTTCCTCTATGTAATCATAACACAGTCATGGTTAACAGTGTTTTTGAGTTGATTCATGGCGTTTGAGTTTACAAATGGAGGGAAAGGTCGAGCCTTTGGTGGCAACAATGAGATGGTTAAACAGTTTAAGTAGAAGTGTTTAACAAATAAGAAAGAGTGAGAGATTGTCGGCTAATGATTTGGAATGTAAAGAATTTTCATATTTGAGGAGAGCTAGGCAGGTCAAGAAAGAAGATTTTTGGGTGGTATGATTAGTAGATATATGGATAAATTGATTAGATTTATGAAAAGAATAATTATTTTAAAGAAACTTATCTTTAAAAGTACTGAAATTATCTTTTGCTCCACCCACATCTGAGTCGAAAGCTACTGAAATTAACCCACAGCTGAGCCGAAAATTACTGAAATTAATCCACATCAACCACCATTGTAACTTTTCTTTTGATACTGAAATCTATTGGATTGATAATATAAGACAAAAAGTATTTAGTTCATACAGTTTCCCTTCAATGGAGTCATTGCCGGAACTAATTTCCTCGGACCAGACATAAAAGTTGTGTCCTGTTTTGTACAATACATTTGCATAAAAATAAGCTTAGCTGATTGGCGAAGTATTATAGATATTTTTAGAACTCAATTCGATACATAAACTTGATTAGTTTTTTTAGTTTATCCGAAAAATCAGAAACCAGTGATGCTTTTTTTTTTTTAATATCTTGAGGAAATTGAACTGCCCTAGTCTTTTTTGTCAGATTTGCTTCTCTGATTATGTAACTCTGTATAGAAATTTAAGTTGGTTCGGAGGTTCAGTTTTTGTTCTCATTTTTGAAAGTCGGTTATGTTACAGAGCTTTTCTATTGCCAAGTGTAAAAGTGTATCTTCGGTTATCTTCTCTTGGCATGAGTATCTTAGCTTCTGCGGCAACAAATGTTAATTCCCGTCTGTTTTCTAGGTCTTTGAAAGTAAAAATATGGAAGTAGAAAATGCTAAAGAAGTGAATCTGGAACAGCAGAAGAAGCATAAAGGTAAACATGATAAGCAAAGCCATGGGACGAGGACCCAAACATCGATCGGTGGAAAATTGAAAAGTTCGACCCTTCTTGGAACCCGGACGGATTGTTGGAAGTTAGCTCTTTTTTCCACAATCTTCCCTCGCTACCGAGGTAATCAACTGATTTCCTCTCTTTTTTCTATGCTCGGTGGTACCTTTTTTCTCCTAAAGAAAAATACTTGCAAGAAGCTTGGCCAAAGGTTAAATCAGCTTTGAAAGAATATGGTATTGCTGCCGAGCTCAACTTGGTAAGTTCAAATTCTGTCAAATGTTTTTAGTGACTTAATCTAATGATCTTTTTGTATTCTAGATGTTGGGTTGGTTAAAGTTGAGTATTTTGTTTTTGGCAACCCTTTGTAGATTGTAACAGATAGTTCGGGTGTTCTAAAAGCGTGAGTAGAAAGGAAAGACATGATTTAGTTAATGTCTTCTGCAATTTTCACCATATTAGTTACTATTTTTAAAATTGGGTTTTAAATTTTTTAGAGCATACTTTCTGCACTCCATCTTGTCCCGTTGTAGAAAAAAAAGGATTAGTATTTTTGGTTCATTTCACTTTCACCTGTGTTCTTCTTTCTTCCATACAAACAGAATCTTCTGTCTTATGCCCCATCGATTGTTCCTTATCAGATTGATGGATCAGCATCTGCCTCTCTCATAATTAGATATAATCCCATATATTTATATGTCAGATTGCTTCTTCAAAGATTGAAGGGTCATCTTGCGTAAAATGCTATTACTATATATATATATATATATATATATATTTAATTAAAGGAGAGGTCTCATTAAAACCCCTTCATAATTGTTCTTTTTATGAAGGAAAGCAGAGAAAAATATTACCTCATTTTATTAATATATCATAAGAACAACAATAATTTTTTGTAATACATCAGAAAAGACTATCCTTTAGGTACACAGAAAACATCTTAAATGTATCCAGATTATCACCCAACCCTTAATTTATCAGCCTTCCAATTACAATCCCTAAGAATCAACTTCACTATTAACGCCCTAGACAGCACAAAAGACACGATTTCCTCGACTAGATTACTGAAGTACACAGGAGCAGAAACAGGCGACTGGATCCATTCCACAGCTGTTTTACAATGACTCTCCCGTGTCAATCTACCCCTAGTTGACCGACTGAGGAAAAGAAAATTTCAGTTCCTTTTCTAATTGCCTTCAATTCAGCTAATAGAGGAGGGCCAGATCCTGCACTTTCTAAAAGCGACGTTAGAGTGAAGCCATTTGAGTCTCTAAGAATGCCTCCTGCCAACCCATCTTTTCTAACAACTCCATCAACATTGAACTTGAAGAAATCCACAGGAGGAGGAAGTCATCTCTGCAAAAGGCCTGCTCTGAACCTTTGAGCACTTGAGCCCGTCTGCTAGCGAGGGATCAGCAATCAACGAATCAACTGAGATGGAAACTTGATGGAACTTGGCTAAAAACCACTTAGTCAATCTAAATCTTATGATGAAGAAGAGGGAAGACCTGTCTAGGTCTCGGTTCTCAAATACAATAGAGTTTCTATGTTTCCAAATAGACCAAAGAACAACACCCGGAATAAATTTTCAAATCGTAGAATTTGCCATCAAATCAGGCCAAGACCTAAGGATGGATGGAGGGTCACGAGGCAAAGCTGTACAGACATCCCAAAACATGAAGAACTTATTCCAAATCTCCCAGGCAACTGAGCATAAAATAAACAAATGCTGGACCGATTCTTCATTCTGTTTACAAAGCGGACCAAGATCACAGTCTGCCAAGGGAACCCCCTTTCTTCAACTCTGATTTCACTGCCAATTTTTGATGAGTTACTTGCCAGAGAAAAGTTTCTACTCTATATGAACTCTCTACCGCCAAAAGCCTTCTTTTCCTTGTTTATTCTAATATTTTTCATTGATTACTGGCACCATACTATCATTGCTATAATGTTGGCATTTGTTTCTTTATCATCTGATACCATTAATTGCTGATCAGGTTGAAGGGTCTATGACAGTTTCTACGAGAAGGAAAACTAGGGATCCATATATTATCATTAAAGCCAGGGATCTTATCAAGCTTCTGTCAAGAAGTGTTCCTGCATCTCTGGTAGA